GAACACTTTTTTGAAAGTATGTTTGCCTTTAATTTTCTGATATAAATCTCATAACCCATGGCTCCCACTAGTAGGCACCCGAGGCATTTGATAATAAGCGTAGGTGGTATTACTTGTGCAATTGTTAATGGTTCTATTTGGAAAAGACATCAGATAATACAATATTACGCTGAAAGCTATAATCAATAAAATAACTTAAGAATGTAAATCTGGGCTTTTCATCAGTAATGTTGCTCCCCTATAAGGAAAAGTTTCTACTCGTTAGAAGTTCTATAATAGGACTGTATCAATCTGTTTCAGCAGTTATTTGTTAGTAGGCTTACTTATTTGCTTCTAGCATCAACTTATTTATGAAGAATACTTTTTAAAATTGCTAGCAATGATGATATTGCCCAAACCAATCTGTTTCAACAGTGGTTAAGTGTTCATGTATGGTTTGTATTTTGTATTTATTATAGGGTGAGGTTTCTATAAGGTTGCAACCTTAAACAATCCGATTAAGGCGCACATTAAAAACTTATCATAACATGTAATTTTGTTGTAAAAAATTCTTAGTATTATCTTAAAAATCTATTTTCATACCTAATTAGAAAATTTTAAATTACAAAAATGGTAAAAATCAAAGATCTATAAATATATGAAAATCTTGAAAATGAACGGTCTAGATAATGTGTTGTAAGATACATTATTTTCGAGATTTAAAAACTGTTTTTTTTTCATATTCATAGATGTCGATGTTGAGATGATTGATTAGAGGGCTTTTTCAACAATAAAACAACAATTCTGATAGATTTTTGAGGTGTATCTGTGATTCTACATTTTAAGGTTGCAACCTTATAGAAACTGTTCCGCTTATTATATGGAACCATAGTTTCAAGTGTTCTCCTCATTGGTAGGCATTTGTAGTCGATGTTGAATGATGTTATGTGGAACATTGATGCTATGATTGCTGCTTTTGAATGTATTCATGATGTAAAGCTTTGCTCCTCCAGTCTATTATATGGAATTTAACAAAATACACCTAAAATTTGAACAATTTAACATTTTATCCCAAGTATAATTTGATAAATTTTTAAATCCAATTTGACATTGCATTTGATGGGCTATTTGAAATTTGATAAATAAAATGATGGGCTATTTAAATTAAACAATATGGGTAAATGTTGAATAGTTCAAATCTTCAGTGTGTTTTTATAATTTTCCTTTTGTGTATGTATTTATGTATTCTTTTGATTACATAAGATACACAATTTTTGATTGAACACTATTATTGTTTGGAATTTTGTTATCAAGGATGGGGTGTAACTATTCTAGTTGGGGTTCTTCATAAGGATGCAGTGTTCAAGACACACCCCATGAATGTGCTCAATGAAAGGACTCTCAAAGGAACATTATTTGGAAGCTATAAGCCACATTCTGATCTTCCCTCTGTTGTCTACAAATACATGAAGAAGGTACACATGACATGTTTTAAAAACTGAGTGAGAGAGAGAGAGAGAGAGAGAGAGAGAGAGAGAGAGAGATCTGTATTGTAATTTGTTTATTTATCTTCTCAATGGTGTATAAAGGATAAATGATATTCTTTTAAATGAAGTTCGGAATTAACTGATATGTGATCGCTAATGATGCATAAACTTGAGCTAAAGAAGTTCATCACACATTCAGTCCCATTCACATAGATCAATAAGGCTTTTGAATACATGCTCAAAGGGGACAGTCTTCGTTGCATCATTTGAATAGAAGAGTGATGTCAAATAGGGGAATGTAATAGTTATCGTTCAGTTTCAACTCTTATTGTTACTAGTTTGTGAAACTTGAAGGACAAAACATAAATTAATTACTTGGTGCTTGATTTAGCTCAATTGGGTCACCTTTTTATAGTATATGGTTTTCTCCTATTTCATGAGGTGTTTAACCACATTGTTTCATTGTTTAATTAATGGTAATCTTTTTTGAATGAAATTCTCTGGGTTCTGGTACTATTCAATTTATGACATTTTCTTTTCTTTTCTAGAGAGAGAGCGAGAGAGAGAGAGAGAGAGAGAGAGAGAGAGCTAGTT